TGTTTTCAGTGTAAAAAAGAAATGTATGTATATGTATATATATATATATACATATATATATAGTATATATAGATGCATACTATATATACGCATATATATATATATATGTATTTGTGTATGAAAGAAAGAAACGTTTTCCAAACAGTTTTCTTTTATGTATTAGAAATGTAATTTATATATTTTCTTATTTTTTTTTTTTGGTTTTTCCTTTCTTATATGTAGTATTAAACTCTTGCTTGAACTGCCTACTTTAGCTTCTCAGCATTTTCATCTTCACGGGTGCAGTTTGTTTATTAATATTTGTATTTTTTAGTTTTGTTTTCGTTTTCTTTTCATTTGTGAGATTTTCTTTTGGGCTCGTCTTTGGGCGCTGTTTTTCATGTATTTAGTTTTTAAATCTATTTGCTGATGCTTGTTAAAAATTGCTTAAGTTTAATTTCAATCGGTCTGTACTTGAATATTTACTTGTTATTTCAATTTCATTTCAATTGTTAAGAGATTGGTAAGCCTTACACTGTTGCTCTATGCTCAATTAAACTGTCTTACAATTGTTTGCCATATTTCTATTTATATACTCAGCTTTGTTCAGATACTAAAAAATTGAGCTTAAATCATGACAAAATGTTATAAAATATTTTAAAATTAATTATTGTTATTATTTTTCATGATGGCAGCTTGTTTGCTATTTATTTCTTCTCTCTATTATATTTTTTCTTTTTGCTTTTTCATGCTTAATAGGATCGAAATGTTGTCAAGTTTAGCGTAAAAAATTATAAAAACCAAATTTGAATTGTGTTGAACAAATATTCAAAGTAAAACATATAATTTCACCTTTTATTAATATACATATATATTTGTTATAATATATAATTCTCGCAAAGATTGGATTTCAGTTTGTTTTTCCCTTTTTGTTTTCCTTTTTTTAAGTTTATCAAAAGCTAAACCTTAACTTTACTAAGCTGTCCCACAAATTTCGACATTCTTAAAAAACACTACGATTTTAAAAATTGATTCAAAAATAAAGTGCGTTCATATTGTAAAAAAATAAACAAATATGAAAATTTAAAAAGAAATTTTGGTTTTTTTGTAGAGTTTCAAAATTCTGTTTGCTTATAAATGGTATCAAAAAACAGTTTATAAAGATTTTATAAATTCGAAAATGAATTAGAATAATTAAAAACAAGTAAGAAAGCTCTAGTCGGGGTGCCCGACTAGGAGATACCCTGATCCCAGTCCTTTGAGTTTTGTAATATTTTCCGTAGTTTGTATCGAGTATTAAAAAAAAAAGAAAACAAATAAAAATCGACATTGCGAGACCAGGATTCGAACCCGGATTATTTGCGCAACGTGCACAAACTCTACCAACACCGCCACTTCATAACTAAAAAAAAAAAATAAATAAATAATATAAAACAATAAAAAACATTTCATCTCCTCTGGTCTCGAACCCGGACCAAGCTGCATCCGAGAGGTGCCTCTACCAACGCAGCCACTGCCCTTCTTACGCGAGCTGTTGCAAATTTGAACATAAGTAGCAGCTAATAATTCAGCACAATTCAATCGCAATTTCAATTCTTGGAATAGAAAAGTATACACGCATTTGAATGTATGTGTGCACACGCATAGGAAAAATGCGTGCGCGTGGCGCTGCTGACATGTGCTTTTGCAAATTGGCCAAACGTTTTGTTTAATAACTTCTGTTTTACTTAATGGATTTTAATGAAATTTTCAGCATATGATCTACATATCCTATTGGCTTGGTTGAGATGCAAACGCCTTCACATAATGGCCCTAGTTCCAACTAAACTTAAATTCTAAGAATTTGGGGGAATTTGGAGCCGGTATCCAAAATCCAACAAAAATCAAAATTGCATAAAATATACATAACACTAAATACAAAATTTGGAGGCTCTAGCTCTTAAGACGTTCGAGATATAATTTATTTACTGCATTTCAATAATGTTTTTATTCGATAACAATTAAATGCGAATAGTTATCGAATATTTGAAACAAACTTGACCTGCGCGTGCTATACACGGACCTACAAAAAAAATTTCAAGTCTCTAGCTCTTATAGATGCTGAGATCCACGCGTTCACACATACGGACAGACGGACAGACGGACAGACGGACAGACGGACAGACGGACAGACGGACAGACAGACAGACGGACAGGGCTCAATCGACTCGGCTTGTCGTCCTGATCAAGAATATATATACTTTATGGGGTCTGCCACGCCTCCTTCTGCCTGTTACATACATTTGCACAAAACCATTATACCCTGATTTCCCATTTTTAATGGGATCAGGGTATAATAAATCGAAATAAATAAGAATCAAGAGTTGTTTATAATGCTTTCGATCCCCTGCTAAGTCATTCCATATACGAGTTAAACTATTGCTATATATATGTCTGTTGTTGTTTGTTGAGCTCATTGTTAGAATCTTAATTATTATTTTTTATGATTTATTTACGATGTGTTAAGCTTACGTTAAACATATGACAATTATTTCTTTTGTTTTTTCTTCAACTTTTTCGTTTTGTTTTCGGTAATTGTATTTAATAATTATTTTATTTATATATATGCAAATGAATATATTGCTTTTATGGTTAATGTTCTTGTTGTTGTTCTTCTCGTTGTGGTTTGTCTTTTTTTTATTTTTCATTTATGTTTTATATTCAAAGAAAAATTCTGATTGTTTTCAATGCACAAGATTTACAATTAGAAGCAGAATTGCTGTAACTTAAAAATTATAAAAGTAAAATGTTAAAATTTGTGAAAGTTTAACATATATATATATATATTTAGAAAGTTAAGTAGAGTTTAGGCATGTGACATCACTTGAGATTTCTCAGTCTCGCCTGATGCACTTGCAATTGTAATTTTTAAGATTTTTGTTGTTTCTATTGTGTTGTCATTTGTTTTTCTTTTTGTTCTTCTTACGTTTAGAAATTGTGTGCTTGGCTAGTTTTGTGGACAGTAACATACGTCTTGATCGGAAGATCTTCAAAATACATTTTGGTATGAAAACATCATCAGCCAATATTTGAGTGAGTGAGTGAGTGTGTGAATGAAATGACAGACTCAAGTCTAATGAATCTTGTCTATATATATGTTTGTTTGTTCTTTGCTATGTAATATGTATGTATAAAGCTCTCTCTCTTGTTGTTGTGTATGTTGTTGTACGCGCAATACTGGAGCAAAGCACATAATTTGCCATGCACCGTACATGTTTTGTGTTCATTGATGATGTTCATTGTTATTGGTATTTCTTTCCTAGTATTTTTCTTGAACTTGTGTTGACTATCATTGTATGCATTTTGGTGTTATCTACCAAATTTCAGTATTTTTTTTAAGTTTTTTTTTAATGTAAATTAAAAAAGAAAGTGAAGTAGAAAATGTTTGTTTTTTTTCTTTGTAAAGTAAAAGAATACCGAAAGTTAGTTTTGTGTACAGTTTAGATACATTCGCTGTTCTCAATGCAATAAAGGAGCGAACCTTTGCTTGGATGTGCCTGAACACATCAAACAATAGATCGATCGATCATTGTTTGCATCACCAAAAAAATCATGCAATTCATCAACACGCAGATATTATTGCTCGCAACCATTAAAATTTCAATCTTTGTTTGTTCTTGTTCTTTTTGATACTCAATCAAATTTTTTTTTCTTTGCCGTTCACATCCAGATGTAATGCATATTAAATTGCATTTCATTTGCTGTGCACTCTCTGGGCTAGGTATTTTTTTTTATGATTTATATACTGATTGGGGATATTCAGTTTTTTTTATACACTGCTCGTTTTTTTTTTTCATTTTTTTTCTATTTGATTAAATTTTGTAATTCCAATTGGTTATTCGTGTTTATTTTTCTGGTTTCAATTCGAAGGAAGGGTTATTCTATTGGTTTTGTCTTTGCATTTAGCTTAGGGATAGGATTTGGTTTTTATTGCTTTGGTTTTTAAGTACTTTTTGAAATTAAAATAAAATTGTAAGGGAAGTGTTTTAAGTACAAATGTCTTGGATATGTAGTTCGTCATATTGGTTCTGTTTAGAAATGCAGTTTGTTCTATGGGTTTCTAATATTATGCAGTTCATACAATTCCTTTAAAGTTTTGTTTTGTTTTTTTTTTTTTTTTGTTTTTTTTTCTTTTTAGTTGGAAGCAATGGAATTGTTGTACTTATGAGAAAAATCTGGAATCTGGAAAAGCTACATGCATAAACTGACTTGAATTAATATTTTCAAGAAGATTTCATATTTTTCGCTTTTTCTTTTTTTGTTTTGTTAGCTGTAAGTAGAGTCAGCCTTACATTAAAAAAAGGATTAGATAAATAATTAAAAATACAAAACAACGTTGGGTTTCGCCTACCATTTGGATCCATTAAATTTCTACTATGTATTTCACTTTATAAAGCTCAATGCTATATCAAAAGAAAATTGAGCGTATACAATCGAAGTCTTCGAAACATTTTATGTAATACTGCAATTTCTTTGAAGTTTTTCTTTCATATCTTTTGTTTCTTTTTTTTGGAAAAGTTTTCTGTGAAAAATTGCTCCTAAAGTGTAAAATATACAAATCTTTAAAGAAAATATACCCGTGTCATTCTTGTCTTCTTATTTTCTTCTTCTTCTTCTTCATCTTCTTATTTTTGAAATATTTCAAATGGAAGAAACTTAATTTTTTGGTTGTTTGGGGATTTGCGGTTAGGAAAGTATTTTTTGGTTTTTTATTTTTATTCATTTTTTTTTTGGAATTTAAAAAATGTAAACAAATTTTAGTTAAAGTTTTTGTTTTTAAGTCTCTTTTGGGAAGGTTTTGCTTTAAGGGATTTGTTTTAACGAGTTTTTTTGTTTAAATTATTGTTTTTTTTTTTTTTTTTTTTTGGTATTTATTTAGTTAATGGTTTTTTAAAGTGGTTTTTCTCTTTTTTTTTGTTGGTTTTTTAGATTTTGTGGTTTTTTCTTTAAATGTTTTTAAATTTACTTAAAAAGTTTCGTTATTAATTTAATAATTAACAAATTGATTTTATAATAAAACCAATAACAATAACCACCTCGCCCATATGGCTACGAGACAATAATATGTGGTGCTGATAGTAGTACAGCTATTGTGGCTAATATTGTGAACATTGTGAATATGATAAGGCACAGTCTGTCAACGACCATAGCTGCAAATTTCCAATCATTGGCAATGTCATTGTCCTCGTCCTCTTTACGTAGCTAAATAATTACAATTTTTAACAATTGAAAGCGAGTTTTTTTTGTTGTTAAATTTTAATTGTAAATTAATATTTTATATATATTTATATATATTCGATTGATTTTATGTATGAGAGAGAAAGTTTTGTTGAGATATTTTGGAGAGAGAAAAAGAAGCAAAAATAATTTCATATTGGTTTTTTTCATTACTAAATCAATAGAATTGTTTTTAAATGCAAACTAAATTGGGTTTTATATAGGTAATGTATATATAGGCAATATATAATAGTGCACTTAATAATACAACTTGAATTCTAATTTATTAATTTTTATGTGTATATATTAAAGTTTTTATGATTCCGCATGCAATTTAATTTGTTTGTTTCAAATAAATGTCTAGTTTCTGTTCAAAAATATATGTGACATAATAAAAAGTAAATTATTATGCCTATTCAAGATTTAATACCCCTGGGTTAATGGGTAAAATAAACTGCTTAATAATCCTTTCTTATACTGAGGCTGCAAAAGTTTTCCCCAAAATAATTTAAAATGGATTTTGAAATATGTACTACTAATTTAAATTAAACTCAAACTACACGCCTTGAAAAACCATGGCAATAGACATAAGTTATTATACAAGAATTTTAAGCAAAAGGTAAACAAAAACAAACAGTTCAGCATAAAGTTTTATATTTCAATCATTTGAGTTAAAACATAAAGTGTTGTATTTCAAACAAATATAGTAAAGTATATTTTAGTGAATTTTAAATACATAATTTTGTATATTGAGGAGTTCGAATATATTAATTTTTATATTTTCCAATTCAATAAAAAACATTAAAGACTTAGTTTTCTCTACCTAGGATTGCTTTATGGCTATGAAGTACCAAGTTCTTAGTTTATAGCTCATTTTGTACTCTTTTTATGTGAAACAAAAAAAATCAACTTGTTTAATGTAATTGTAATAGAGCTGCAAAGACAGCAAACTCAAAATTGGGTCACGGGACTAGAGCACTTTCAGTATCTGTAAGCTTCAGTCTATTTTGAAGAGTGCTATTACAATCAATGTAAAAACATCTGATTGACAAGTAAAGCTAATTCAAGTTCAATTTATATATATTCCTCTACACCCCATAGACTTTTATACTCCAGAAGCTGCCTTTACTATTTAACGCAAACTCCACTTTCGTCTATACATAAGAACATTCACTGTAAGGGCATGAATAGTATATATTTATCTCGAAAATATGTATCTCAAATATATGTGAAATGGTAGTAAAGTTAAGTAAAGTATAATTTATTCAAGCCTTAAACAATAGTCTAAGTAGTTTGTTTACTTGAGTTGACAACGAAAGCACTTACCTGATCAGTAATAAAGCGAATTTCCTTTAAGATTAAACCTAATTCATATTCTGTTGATGATTTGATGCACGTATGATGTGTGACCGCATCGGGCATTCGTGTGCTGCCAATTGGCCCAATGCTGCCATCGTCGCCTTGCCTGAAAGCCAACGAGAAAGGTTACGAGTTTATTGGTAAGCCACTAAATTGGGATTAGACTGTGGGAGTGAGGGTCATTGTCTGGCTGTCTATCTCTGTGTATATATTGTGTGCACGTGTGAATATGTTTTTTTCTTATTTTTTTTTTCTTTTTTGTTACCCATAAACCGTGCGATAGAAGGCCGGATTGTGTGGCAGTGTTCCGCCGGGCGTCATGGGGCGACAATTGTGTCGAAAATCATCATCAATGTCGAGCACATTGGCCAGCAGCGACTTTGAGGAGCTTCAAAATAGAAATCACATTTAACATACAGCAGATCGTGTGCATATATAGTTAGTTATCATATAATAGTTTATCATATAAGTAGTTTATCATATAAGTACCGCTCTTTTAGCTCAACATCGGATAGTATTTGATGTTTGCGCTCGGACGATGTATCCGAGCAGGGCGTTGTCGGGAATTCCAATATCAGCGGACGTCCCGGTCGACTCATGCGCAATATCCATGGCAGCCAGCATAAAAATACGATGCGTATCTGTGCGTGCGGTGTGCAGCAGGTGAAAATTGAAACGTTTAGTAGACGGAACTGCAGAGATGAACTCGACTCCAAATGCGTGTAAAACGAGTTGTATTTTGTTTGTTTTTTTTTTTCATGAGCCCCCTGGCATGTGTGTGTGCTTGTGTGTGGCCAAATATGTGGCATACTTAAGCGGGCAGACAGCGATTTATTGCACTTTGACATGAACAGAGACAAAGACACACAAACACACACACGATTATGATTTATATTTGATTCTGATTCAACAAATATGACGCCCATCCAGAGATAGAGATAGAGAGAGAGAGAGAGTGACAGAGAACAGTGTTGTGTATGACATTTGATTGTAGTGTTGGGCAACGTGGTGTGCGTTACACTATTACACTTAGCTATAATAATATTTATGTGCGGCGCCTTTCGTCTGTGGCTCTGGCGATTATTTATAGCTATGTTGCATGCAAAATTTATGATTTACAATAACACACGTCACAGCAACAACAACAATGATAGCAACGACAACGACAACGACAACAACAATATAAACAACAACAGCAATAACACTGACAACAAATTTCGTATTATCTAAGGCGGAGACCCACAAATATGCACACACACACACGCGCGCACACACTTATTCACACTCAGCTCTATTGCTTGTTGGCTATAAATAATCAACGCATTTACACACTCAGTCACACACATACACACACTCCCACATTTGACATTTATTCACATTTGATCTAGAAATGTCTGGAGGGATTTCTGCAACAAGTTTTGTGGAACAAATTGATTTTAAATTTCATTTTCAATTACATTTTTGGGACAGAGCCTTAATATTTAAAATATTTTTTATAAAATTCATATGAAATATGTATTCTTGTTTAAATTTATTGTCACCTGCAATTGTGTGACAAATATTTCTTGAAAATATAAGATATTAAAATTTTGTTTTATTATTCTTTTATGCTAAAGGTTGTTTTACAGGTAATCTAACCTTTATTAGAAAAAATATATAAAATCTTTTCTATAAGTCGAATCTTCTAATCAAATTATTAAGAGAAATTATTCATATTTTTGTCATTTTTACATGCAATACAAATATTCTATAAAATGTTGCACATAAGCTGAATATTAAATCCTTAAGTAATACATCTTACTTCAATTTAAAAGATGCTAACCTTTATCAATTCCAACTTGTCTGCAAAATGTTTTAAAAAATCCTTTAGGTGGTACATATGATTGAAATTAAAGAAAAATATATTCTCTGCCTGGAAATCTTCAATGAATATTTATTAAAAATATAATTTCGTTTACTATTTTCGATCATTTTTAAAGCAATAAAAAAATGCTAAATAATTGTTAAGTCTAAACTCTTCTAATTGCAAAAGAAGTTAAATATTTTTCATTTTATTTCATCTTCAATTAAATATAAATTGTTTTCTAAATGTTAAATGTAAAGAAGATTAAAAAAAACTGCAAAAATAATATTTTTAATTTAATTTTATTCTTTTTCCTATCTAAACGACTCCCTACTATGTGGAGTACAATTAAATAGTAATTATGTGTATAAATTTGAAATTGAATCACTTTAATTCCAATGCTACTTAATTTTAATCTTGTAAATTGTACATATTTTTATATATATTTAAAAATTTAAATAGCCTTAACTAAATGTATTTCCATGATATATAAACTCCAATCTTTGCACAAGTTCTATAACCTCAACTCAATTTGTACCATCTTCTTACCAGCAAAAGAACATGAACTCATGCATTTGTATGTTATTCGATTAAATCTGTTGCCAAGCAAAATAAACTTGGCTACAAGTTAAAAAGATTTTCTTAACTGCAAATGGAAGTTTTATTTGCCAACAAATCAATCGTGTCTCTCTTCCCCTATTCAGCTGCCATTAAATATTCCATAACGTTGTTTACTTTTGATTAAAGTTCAAAGTGCAGCTGGGGAAAGAAAGAGCTAAAATCGAATCGATTGTCATGCTAAGCTGCATTTCATTCGGTGACTAAACAACGTTTCATTCTATTCTATTTTTCAAGCTTGTTTTTTAAGCTTGCTTTTTTGCCACATTGACATCTGCTGCAGCGAATACTCTACTATGTGGCTCCACCTACTTGCCCCTATCTCTGCCGCCCTACCATTGTCTTGTAGTCCTTTGACGTTGGCGGTTTTCGCTAACAAGCGATGGATACATGGAAATGCGCTTGAGGACGTGGCATGCAAACCAAATGCAAAGTTTCAAATGCGATCCAATGGAGAGTACGGCATGGCTGCAGAAGCAGCTGGATAGGGAGTAGGTACCTACTGCTATCCATATCGCTAGAGTACGAGATGGCGGGGATGGCAAGGAGCTGCCACAGACCGCAGCTGTGTTCGAGTTTTTTGTCGCTGGCTTTGTGCAAATTTTGTGCAAATTGATTTGTTGTTATCACACAGAACAACGTGGCTTCAAGGGAGTGTTGGAGACACAGAGCGAGAGAGACAGAGGAGGAGCTCGTACATGTCCTGCCCTAAGCGCTGCACATTTCTAATGCACCTGCGTTTGCCAATTGGCTCAATTTTCATGCCCGTGTCACGACAACTTCTTGCAACTGGGCCAACTGTCGCCATGCCACAATCTACGTGTGTGTGTGTGTTTGTACTCGTTTTGGGGCTTTACTTCAATTGCTCCAAATTCAATTGCATGTTGAGTCGGCACAAGGGCCTGTCCACATTCTTGAAAGCGAAAAAAAATGGAGAGAACGGCTATAGAAAAGTTTTCATGTGACTGACTTCTTAAAAGCCAATTGACTTTCTCGCTGAGTTGCCGTCAGTTTAGCGGGCTCCCTGCTTAGCCAACTTGTGAGCCAAGAACTTGTTCTATGTATTGTTCACACACACAACGAACGTGGGGAGCATTGCGAGTTTCCATTATGCTCTTCATGCAATTGCAATAATGTGCAGAAATTGCTTTCTACTTGACGTCTCGGCCATGTTCAATTGGCTCAAATAAAAAATATAGAAAAAAAAACCAAGCTCATGATAGCCAGCATTAGATGTGCATTATGTGCTCTGGTTTCTGATATTCTAATTCTGCCAGCGATACTAGCACTTGACATGAAATTGCTTTCAAAGGCAATAGCAAACGGATATATGAATTTCAAATAATTCGCAAAGGAAATGCAAAGATGAAGCATGGCTGTGGCAGCTAAGGCAGTGTAGCGTAATTATCCCTAAAATGAGTAACATATAGAGAAGTTAATACAGCCTTGAGAAGATCTACAATCGACAGGACGCGATTTTCGTAAGCTTATCGGTTAGTTGGCTTGGCTTGAAATTTTGTATGAATTTATAAAGAAACTCTTTACATACTCAAATCCGGCTTACCAAGCCCTCACTTCATTAAGGACCACCAGCCCCCTCCTCAGATTATGATTTGTAAAATATAATTTATTATACATTTTACTGAATGGGTCTTAACTTGTGTTGTATTTAATTTATGCTTAATTTTTATTATCATATTAATCTCTCGATTAGAAGACACGAATAATATATTGCACATTTAATCTTTTGAAATTTATTACTGAATTCAAATACATATATATATATATATATATATATATATATATAATTGGTATATAAACAGCTAACTTAAGCGCCTGTAAGCCATCTGGCAGCTAACTTAAGCCCCTTTTTGATAGCTGTAGCTGAGAAATATATAAATTATATTAAGAAAATTTATATTATAAACATGTTTACTTTATGAGTTAAAAAAACTATACCCGCTTTGAATCAGTTCTGGTTATAATTCAATTTATAGCTATGTAAATTATATTTAAGATTTTGAGCTATTGTCATTAACTAACGAGCTTAATATGTAGAGAACTTATTCAGAGCTAATTATGCACCCCTATAAACAAGCTTTAATTAAAGCTCAATTACTAATATCTATGCTAAAAATAATATATTTAACGCGCTTTATGCGCCATTAATCTCTTTATGTTATAAACCTAATTATGTAATCGCGCATTGAATTAATGTTTCAAATTAAAAACAAATAGGCAAACCTATAACGCACACCACATGAAAGCATTGCATACACAAACACATTGAAAGCTATTTACACAAGTCAGTTTTTTATTTATATTGACAGAAACATATACATATAAATATATATATGACATATATATAGGTATATATAGCAATATTTTTCTGCACTTTCAGCTGTGGAAAGTAATCCGAGAGTACCAAAAAAATAGTAAAGCAAAAAGTGGAGCATATTGTGCAACTAGCTCAGAGTGAATAATTGGGGTTAGTTAGGTTTCAGTTCGATTTCATTTGGTTTTTGTGAATGGGAAATGTGAACAGGCAGTAGAAATATACTTATACATATAGACAGAGATATATATATATATATAGAGAGAGAAAGAGCGTGACATTTGCTTATATAAAGTAGGAAAAAAATAACACAAGTTATGGGCCCAACATCAACATTACGATATTTTTCATTACATAAATTATTTTATAGTAGACATATTTAGTACTCTTCTTTTTTTTGTAGCAGACATGTTGGCTAGTTCACATAGTTCACATAGTTAACAACATTCAGGTTTTTTTTGTACTCTGTACATCCGTCCGTCACATTTCTGGGCTCTTGACATTGCATTATTTAGTTGCTAACTGATAATTTATTTTCTGGGTCACACACACATGGACACATGTGGGGGTGTTGGGGGCTTTGGCCAAATACAGTTCTAAAACAACAAAAACAGCTTGCATAATCGCCTCTAAGTAGGCTTTAAATGAATACAAATATATATATTTAAAAAACGAAATACGAAATATCAAATATACCAAATATATGAAATTAAAAATGTATTACACAACAACAACAACAAACGGGTCAGAACAACAATATGAAATTACAATAATAACAACAATTATAATATATTCATATATATATTTTTGTGGATATATACGTTTGGGATATAAATATATATTATGCAGGTGCAGCAACTAGAAAAATTGCATTTTGCATGTTTTAATTTTGTTTTATTTTTGTTTTGTATTAATATTATTGAAGGATTCCATGAGCCATGAATGGAAGATGATCCAGTGAATTATGTATATATTGGAGAGAAATTCATTTGAGCAAACGTTTTTTAAATGAATTCATTATAATAATTAAAGCGTCAAAGCTTGGCCAAAATAAGATTAGTACATAAAGTTCAACCATTCGTCTAAGCGAACAAAACCCTGCAGCTGTTGAGAATGTCAAATGAACCTTGGGAATGGCTTGAAATATAAAACAGAGACGCAATTGCAAGAATGTCAAAATTTTCATGACAAATATATATGATATATGATCCAAATACCTTACAAAGTTTTAAGACTATGTAGGTCAGACTTTGCTTTAAAGTAAATATAAAATTTCAAGTCTTGAATTCAGCAAATGTGTAGGTGTCTTTGTTAGAACTTTATTTCGCTGCCCTTAAGAAGATATGCATATATAGAAAGGTGACTACTTAAGAGTTACACTCTTTGCATTAGCTACAGTTGAGCATCTGTTTAAACAATTGATAAAATTCAACTGTTGAAATATTCAATAATATTTTTCATTTCATAATGAATCATTTTATGGTTGTAGAAGTTATAGAAACTTTTAAAAATGTTACCATATTGGTATATTGGTATGCAGTGGTAAGCAATTAGTGCGACTATAGCATACAATGTTAAAGACTTATTGCAGCAAGTTATCCAAAATTGTAGATCCTGCTTGAAGCATGGTCAGCAACGACGAAGTAATAATTTAAATGATGTACTAATACATAATGGCACAGATGTATTATTAAATAAAAATCAGAAACATTGAGAGATTACTTTATATGACTTTCTTTTGCTCTTGCTCCATCTTTATAAAAACTGACAATATATTTATTTATTTTGATATTTGATCTTTTGTTCTTAAAGCATATGAATATGCAGGTTATGGATTATCAAATACCGATTAAATTAAAACTTTAATTTTGAATATATTTAACACTCTTGCTTGAATGTATTTCCCAGAACAACAGAATCAACCGACAAATTGTGAAGCATTTAAACGTGTCATTGCACGACAAATAATTAAATTGCGCTTTTCACGCTTTTTGCTTTTGGCTAATCAAGGTTATCTCTACTCCGCATTTATTAAAATGTATTTGAAAATTATTTTTAGCATAAATTAAGTTTAGATATACATAGTTTCACTTGAATGAACCAACATTCAGCCGGAAGCACTTCAAGTATTTGCGGCATTTTGGCCGAACAAATTGTTGTGAAGCTTTGCAATTTAGTTGGAGGCTACAATTAAAATTTGTAAATTTGCTGATTAAAGTTGGTGGCTTTAAATGTAAATTTTATTTTTATTATTTTTTGCATTAACAAAGCAAAAACATAAATTGTACACAAACAACATTAACAACACAAATTAACTAAACAACAAGTAACAAAGGAAACACAACAGCAACAAAAACATTTCTCTAACACATAAATTAGTTTTAGCGCATTTCTCCAAATAATAAAGAATATATATATATAGAGCGAGATATATATATGCAGTTGGTTTGTCTCTGTATTATTTGTAAATCATATGAAAGAAAAGCTAAATGGCTAATGGCAGAGGCAGAGCAGCAAGGTCCTTGCTGCTGCTGCTTTCTTTTTGCTCCTGATGATAAGTGATGAAAGGCGGTGGAGGGCGGGGCAGGCATTTCGCATTACTGCAGTTGTTTTGTTGTTTTTGTTTAGTTGATTTGGATACGAGTTTTTGATTTAAATTTTGTTTTGAATGACCCATTTGGAAAACTTACCCATTCGGACATTTCGTGCGTATCAGCATTTCGATGATGATAATTTAATATTAAAATCGTTGACACAACGGATGAAGCTACCATAAACATTATGCAATTGAAATATGTACCTGTTGGTTGGTTGGGCGTGTTGTCATTTTATATATATTATATTTCAATATATATATAAATATATATAGATATGCATAGAGAGCATAGTTTATATTTTTAATCGTTTATCGTTGGGTATGTGATTTGTTGTTGTGGTGCAAATGTGGTTTTTCATTGGATTGTTTATTGTTGGTTTGTTTTTTTTTTTGGTTTAGTTTTATTTGTTTTTGTGTGTCGAGCATAGTTCAGGGTAGCATATTTCGTTCAGAATTCATTCAGTGTTTCATATTTGTATAAGTTATATATTATTTGTTGTTTGTTTTTGGTTTAGCAAAAGTTATACAATTTTTTGAAAGAAAGAAAAAAGGCAGAGAGATATATACAAATATTTGAGTTAGTATTTATATATGAAATGCATCAAAATCTTTGTATCTTAGCAATTTACGTTTAAAGTTTTCTTAATAGATTTTATAGAAAAAAAATATAGTCTCTTTTTTTAGCACACACACTTAATATTTTTAGTGATTATATATAGAATTAGACACTCAAAAAAAACTGAATTAGATAGTTTAAGTTGAACAATAGAGTTAAGTATATTTTGAATTTTTAAGAAGGCGTTTTTTTAAATATTTTAATTAAAAATTGGAACAATGTTAAATTGGTAGTAAATTTATTAATAATAATTGTAAACACATTTCTTTTTAGATAGAGATTAGAGCTCAATTGGTTGTAATTTAAATATTTATTTTGTATGGGTTGTTTCTTAAGCAAGTAGAGGGTTGTTTCAGGTATGAAAAGTGTCTAATAAGCATATATTTGGTTCAAGATCAATAAATCCAAATATTAGAATAAACTTTAGAAATTTTATAGAATTTTATTGAAATTTTTTTGCAAATTTCATAAATTTTTTGTTGGTTTTAAATTTACTTATTTATTGCTTGCAAGAAACATCCGATACAGAGTGGCATATCGTTCGATTGGAAGTATTATAAATGGAATTGATTTTCACAACCCAAAAAGGATAGATAATAGCGTGCAAAAAACTCGTTTTCAAATTGTGTGTGCATGTTATCAAACCAACTCGTGTGTTCTGTGTGTCATAACTGCAAATTACGAGTATTTAGTTGGATATTTCATTAAATTCTCTTTAAATTTCTGTATATCTTTTTTTTAGTTTTAAGTTTTCTTTCATTTATTTGCATTTATTTGGTTTTATAGTTTCTCTACGGATTTTTAAGTATCTTTTTTAGAATCAGCTTGCAGCTTCTTTATGCACTTTAAAGTCAAATTAGATTTTTGACTTTAAAGCCAAAGAAACTGCTTGAAAAATCACAAAAATTAGCTGATTAAAGGATTTTCTTTTGTTTTTGTTTTTTAAATGGTGTGTCAAAGTTTTAATATTATAAAATCATCGGATTTTATTTGGTTATTAAAATCGTTTTAGAAATGCATGAATATATATGAATGTAACTTCAATAGCAACTTTAGAGTTATGATAGATATTAATATATATATATATATATAAGTTTATATGGTTCTATATACTGTGAACTGTAAACAGAAGAACACACGAACTCAAAAGCAAAGTCGAACGTAGACACAGCGCAAAAAAACAAGTATATTTATATGAGGATATTACAAGAATTACATAGATATGTATGTATGTATAGAACATATATATATTTATAGACGTTGAGCAAAGCTGGTAAACAAAATGATCTTACCTAACAGTGGCACGGCATCTGAGGTGGCGGGCATTGTCTCGGCAACCATATTAAGGAACACGGTCAACGAGAGCAAGATCGTAACGCCTGTATGTTAAAAATGACTATATAGTAAATTATGTTGGTGAAATGTGAGATACATGTGTCTAAGATGTATATAAAGTGAATTTCAGTTCAATTTTAATATTAATTGCAGATGCATATGTCTTTCTTTTGAATCTATCTGTAATACTATTTTTATAGTTTAAATTTAAAGCTACAAATATGCTTAAAAGCTATTTCTTTATATGAACCAACATTTTGAATTTTGGTATAAATTTAAAGCTTGACTATAAAAAAAGCTTTTAGTTAAATCAATCTAGTTTTAGGAAAATTTAAATTTTGTGAATCTATTAAGTAAATTAATATATAAGATGATTTTCAGCTAAAGATTTAACCTAGCTTAGTTTATATGTAGTTAAAGCCAACTTAAAATGCAGTTAAATTTTAATGAAGATAGTTAACGCGAGCGTTTCCCAAATCCATCATTGCCTGTCAAACTCGCACTTCAACTACTTGAAGTTCTGTGAGCCCATCAATAACTGTTTATGATATTCAAATTTATCTGCTTTCAGGCTACACAGCCGCCATTACTTGAGGCGCTTCGTGAGCCGCATAGCTCACATTTTTGTAGCCCAGTCATGGCTAAAAGTTCAATAGTTTGGCTTTTTTTCTCCCATCCCGTGGCGTCATCAACACCCATCAGCAGCGAAGCTCTACTCTCAGTAATAACATCTAATGTGAGACGTCTGTCAGTCAGTCAGTCAGTCTGGCCGTAAGGCTCCAGGCCTGTCTAGCTCCTCTCTAAACACTCATCAACAGCAAGGGGAGGCAATTTTTTTTCTTCTCTTTTCTCCATTTTATATTTGTGCTGTTGAACGTTTGGCTGTCATTATTGCAAAAAGCACTTGGCAAATACTTTTTGAAGCGCCTCTCATGCTGACAAGTATTTGTTTTATAGCATGGAAAATGTATATTAAAATAGTCTTAACTATTCAACTGGCTACTCGAGGGCTAACTAGTTAACTTTCTTAAATGATTAATTGGTTATAAAATAAGCCAACAGATGTGGCTGACCAAGAACTGTTCTGTTGGGGCGAACAGATGAGTTTTTAGATGTAGCAAAGGTCTTTTTCATTTCATAAAAGTTATTCTTATTTTAAAAGAATGCCTTCTAGGTTTACAAATATATCAATTATCTTATCGAATAAAATTTTCAAATGTGGTATAAGCACGCTTAAGAAATAATCAGTTTCATTTTAGGTTTACTTAAATTTATCAAATTCTGTTGGCGTGCTCAATTGAACTTTCTCTCTTTCACTTAGCACTCAGAATAGTAATTACTTTTTATCGTATACTTAATATTAATAGATATAAATGGCAGCTGCTTACCCAGCGACAGCTTTTCACCCGAGTCCGGCGGCAGTGTAAATCCGAGCAGAGCCATGGATGCAATGAGCACACAGGGTATAATCAGATTAAAAAAATAGTACAATGTACGTCGTCGTATAATAATGGCAAATGTGATGTCTATATACGGTTCCGGGCAGCAGTTGTAGTAGATCTCATTACGTTTACCGGGCACACCTAGGAGCAGCGCATTTAACGCACAGAAGATCAAGATATTAGTAAAGACAAAGACTCAATTTATAATATAAATCAGTTTCTCGTGTTAGAATTTCTCTTTTCGTGTCAACTTGGGCCATTGTCTGAGCTTTATGTCTAAATCGAGCATGGCATACAGGCAAGAGAGTAAGTAAATAGTATATATAGAGAGAGAAAGAGATAGAGAAAGTATGTGGTAAAGCGTGTGAAGAGTAGTATTGAAAAGCGTTAAGAAATTTGAGAAAAGTTTTATGTCTATGTGTTTCTTAGATTATGAATAGGTTATAGCTGATAGGAGAGTACGAAATGATATATGCATTAGGTATGAAAACTTTAGTAGTCTGTGTGCATGCTGTGGTTTTCTTCAAGTGTAGTCAAAAAGTTCGCAGTGTGAGTGTGAGTGTGCGTGTGTATGTATACTTTTATGCGCTACTATAGTTTTTGGGCAAAAAGTTTTATTTGCATACGAGCGAGCAACTAATTTGAAGTAAGCGCTGAGACAAACATGTTTCCACAAACTTTTATCACTTGTGCTTGAGTTGCCCAAGCAACAAGCAAATGTTAGTTAAAGCAATGCAAACGCTTAAGTTCTCAATTTGGGGGCTGATATTTGAAGACTTCTGCCTAGCAAATCTATCTATTCACATATGTAAATATATATGTGTATAAATGTATTTCTATACATATATAACTGTAAATGTGCTTTAGCAGGTAAAGCCTATCTCTTAATTGGCAACTTAACTTTCATAGACTCATACCTTCTTACGTGTACGAGCATTGAAAAAGTTTTATGTAGCCAAAAGCATTTGCCATATGCCAAGGGTTGGCTAAATTATGTGCTCTCAACTTAAGCATAGATTACCAGTGGGGATTACACAGAGAGCGCACAAAGTATTTAAAAATTATCCTAGCAAATTGTGAAAAACTGTGGAAAACTTCCACATAAAAATATTTGCATAAACTGGCAGCCAAAGGCGGTTGCCGCAAATGCGCATTGAAAATGGAGAAGCCAAAAAAAAAATAATAATAAAATCAGGGCAACAACTTAAGCAAAACTCCCGAAAATTACGCAGCAAATGGAAAAAAATATATAGAAAAACAAAAGCCAAATAAAATCATGAGAATGAATATAAAAAGAAAAACGTGGCAAGCGGAAATGCAGTAAAAGCAAGAAGAAGCGAATGAAATAAAAAGACGAAGGCGAAATTTGTTGCACAAACTTTCTCAGCACTTTTGTGTGTTGTGAACTTTTGTGGCCAGTGTTGAGCAGGGAACTTTTTTTTTTCTTCTTTGCTTAGACGAGTGTGACTGTGTGCAACTGCTAATTTATAGTGTGTGTGTGTGTGTGTGTGTGTGTGTGTGTATGTGTGTGTATTTGTATTTGTCTTTTAATTTCTTAATTGGTTTGGTGCGTGGTTGAAAGAGCCAAGTCTCTTTCACTGAACAAAAGTTCAGATCTATGTGGTTGGTTCTGTATGTGTGAGTGAGTGTGGGTGGGTGGCTGGTTGGTTGGGTGTTTATGTGGGCGTGCTGGGGTCTGCGCATTTCAGCTGCCTTTGCATTTTATGCGGAAAAGTGCAATTTACGCTTTTATGTGCAAGTTCTGCTTGGTCCCTTTTAATTTCTAACATTTCCCAATTTTAGTTTTTACTTCATTCTATTTTCTAGTTCCAGTCAAGTTCTTGCTTATTTGTGTTAGCATTTAGGGTGGAGGTAATCAAAACTAATGTCAAAACCATTTGAGAATTACAAAAAGCGCCAATGAATTGGCCAATGGATAATGAAAAGCAATTAAAGAGCTTACAAAATGGGGGAATAAAAGTTAAGGTATATAAAATGGTACTTATTAGGGATAGCGTCTATATATTTTAGCTATGTTTTCGCTTAGCCTTCGTCTGGCCTTTACTTAACAGCTATATCAAATGCAATATTTTTAAATCGTTTTTATACAATATATATATATTATTATTTCTAGGCAGCATTCATTGCAGTTCTAAACTGTTTTGTTGTTGTCATGCCATAAGAGCTTCGTTTAAAAGAAATAAATGTAGTTATGAGAGAGAATTTGAGAAAATTTTCTAAGGGGTTGCATACGAGGGCCAGGCCTTACCTCTTACATAGGTTTTTCTTTTTCTTATTTATCTTTGAACTACGCGCCAGTGGGCGTGCCATAGCTTGGACTAGCTAAAAAACTAAATCCCAAACCATGCCACGCCATTGGCACGTACTTAAGCAATATAGTTTTTGTTTAAACTAGGTTAAACGAAACGTTTACGCGGCTATTTCGGACTTGAAAAGTTAAAGCGCCCAAGTTTTGATGATAGTTGATTGATTTTTTTTTTAAATATTGTTGATAGAGTGAGTGAGTGGGAGAACACTGGATAAGCGTGTAATAAATATTTTTTTTATATTTTTTATACTTTTTTTGAGTGTTAAACAGTAGTAGAGTAAAGCTTAAAGAAGTAGAGTAGGGGGTTTTGTTTTAACAGGGTTCATTAGATGCCGTACTACATTCCGTATTCGATGGCCTCGAAATATAAATATATATATATATATGATGTGGTAAATGCAAATTATTAAATTAAGATGTGATCAGAACAGTGATGCGAAATGTTTCCAATTGATTGCAGCTGCCTGCGTTGGCACTTACCAACACTGGCACGACAATCAACTGCTACTATTTATCCATTTTACAGTCTGAGTTTCGAACGGAACGAGTTCGGAACTTTAGCTCGCAACCTGAACCCTGCGTCAGTTTAGAGAAAGTTGAGTGAGAAATGTCTAATGCCATGTTTACAGATTGAAGAAGTTGGAAAGTACTCGACAAGTACCAGAAGTCTTCAGGCTTTAGGCCAAAGTGTAGGAAACAAGTTTTTTGCCTTTATCTAAGCAAGACAAGAAACGTATAGAAACACATTTTTATGTATCAAGTGGATGACAACGCCAATGCTCTGGCAGTCATTTCTCAATTTTTCTAATGTCTATGTTTACGTTATATTTCAAGACAGATAGACAGATAGAGAGAGAGAGAAAGAGAAAGTGTGTGAGACAGTTAGAGAGAGAGTTGGAGAGAGAATTGCTTGATATAAGCAACGGTTGCCCCCGCTCTAAAGCCAGTTTTGGTTTTGTTTTCGTTTTTTTTTTTCCAAGAGAATTATTTTTCGTTGTTTTTTCTTTCTTAGTTTTTGTTTTGTTTCTGGCATTGGCTTACTCACCCAGTAGTTCCCACTCGCCGTTGAGCACGTAACTGCTGATATCACCGCCAGTTTCATCTTGTAATTGCAAATCCAGCTTTAGTTACAATGGATAATAGGGGGAGAGGGTAGAATAATATAAATATATATATCGCTACGCCATCTCCACCTCAATCAAAAACAATACAAATTTTATAAATCATAAGAATACGTAAAAGATTCGATTTTGTTTTTTTTTTTTTTTTTTTTGTAAGCATAACAACTACGAGCTGTGTACTCCCTGGTTGCCTTGCTTTTCGCTCTCTCGCAAATTGACTGAATCAAACCTGAAATCCATCATAGGTCCAGCTGCCGAATTTCATTTCGCAGCGCTGATCATCAAATGGAAACCATGTGATATCAATTTTACACGTCGATTTGAATATGCCCGGCGGCACATAGAGACAGGAGCCATTGTTGCGAACCACCACATTCGTCTGATAGGTGCCATCGAAGCCCTCGTCGGCGCTGTTGTACATCAAGACGTCCGGCTTCCAGATGCGATGCGGCGGTATTCGTAAGTCCTTGACGCCGCCATAGTCGGAGGTATTCCAACGCAAATTCATATCGTTCCACTCCAGTTTTAGCCACACATTCGTGACAAGCAATTGATTTTTCTCGTCCTGCAACAATACACAACACAACAATTTCATTAGAATTTCATTAAATATTCAATTAAAAACTAGAAACTATAACCACAATTAACAATTCACTCGCAAAGCAAATTATAATTAGAATTGGAATTTTATATAAATATTTATAAATTTTGAATGAAAGCAAAAAAAATTCTTTGTCTTCATTTAGGCATTTTTTAAATAATCTAATGCATTTTTAAATTCATTTTTGATTCTAAGTAACATTATTGAAGCCACATCGCTTTAAGAGCTTATGCAACAATTCGGTTAGTTCACAATGAGCCCAAATGTATTTCTATATGTAATGAGTCCAGCCCTTTGGGCCACAAACTTTTTCATCAGCCATCAAACTATTGCATAATTGACGAGCGACAGGCGAAAAGCATTTCAATTTACAGCAACTTTAATCAAGCGAGCTAAATTTTTAAATACGCGCTAACCGAAAGCTGGCCAAAAAAAATGTACATAAAGCGAAGTGTTTTCCCCAGGCGCGTGGTCCAATAACCAAATCCGTGCATTACAATAAAAACCAGCAGCAGCAACAGCAACAGCAATGGCAACGGCAACGACAAACAACAACTGGCAAACAATAGTAAAAAATGCATAAAGCGCACACAGGGCGTATGTGTAATTTACAATTAAATGCTTGAAATATTCAGCAGCGCGCCAGCCGCGTACCAAAAATGCCCAAAAACCCAAATCTCTGGGCGCTTAACTAACGCAGGCGAAACTGCAGGCAGGGGCCACAGGCAGCAACCGTGTGTGTGTACTTGTGCTAGTCGTGCCTGGCATTTCACAAATATTTTGACCGAACAATTTCCGGGTATGAACTGTGCGCAACTTGCAAGTGCAATCACAAAATGCGCCAAGCTGCAGCAACAACAATTGGAAACAGCAACAGCAACAACAACTGGCACAAAATTGCGACAGAAATGCGGTAAAATGAAATGGAGCAATGGCCAGAGTAAGTCAAGCCTGGGCAAGAAAGGCCAGCCCAGGGCACAGCAGAGCGGACTAGGCCAAAAAAGAGGTCTTGCCAGCTGCCCAAAGGCGTGTCCAAACTGCAGTCATCAATGTGTATTGGAAAGGGAGGGCTAAGCATAAAGGAGAGTATATTGCGGTTGTGCAATGGCGTGCAACAAAGCTGAAGCATAGATGACAGCGCAGCATAACTGATTCCCTAATAACATTTTTGGATAGCGAAAAGGGAGTTAATCAAGCTAGTGAATCTTCTGAAGGGTAAGTTTTCCTGCCAGACTAGTTTCTGACCGAACAGTTGATATTGATATGGAGAGAGACGAAGTGAGATACATTGCCAAAAAGATAGAACGAGAGAGGTGAAAGTAAGAGACTAAAAGGTCAAAGAGGGAGAGCGGGAAAAAGATAGAAGAGTAGGAGACATGGGAGGTTGAGAGGATATAGAGAAGCAGAGAAAAAGAGAGAATGACATAATGACAGAGGGACAGCGCGAGAGACAGAGAGAGTAACAGACTGGGAAGATACAGAGAGCGAGGAAGAGACTAAAAAATACAATAGGTAGACGGTAACTTCCTCTGCTCTTCTCTATATTTTATATATTTATTCTCTCATCCAATCAAAGTTAAAAATAAAATATAATATTTTTTAAATATTCATTCATCTAAAAACTCTGCAAATACCACAATGTTCCACTCTCCAACTTTTCGAAGAATAAATATAAGTAATATATACCAAAACTTTTTGCTGCATTTAAGGACATCCAAGTCGACATCTCGCAAAGCATATTTTTGTTTTCAGTCACTTATTTTTTTTTGGTGCTAACAAAATTGAACTGCGCGCCAGCAAAACCAAAAAAAAGGGGCTCACGGAGTTGCTTTCAATGCAGGATGCGGCAAGAAGTATACACAGGACACGTAATATTGCGGTCATAGCAAACGCAACAGCAGCTGCAGCTCAATCGCTCTCTCTCTCTCTCTCTCTATCTCTGTCTCGTTCTATCTCTTGCTATCTCTCTCTCAATATAGCCATAACATTATTGCACTTGACTACAGCTTCCATTTCCCTTAATATAGTATAAATACCGCCCACAAACTGAACCGCAGCAAAGTATGCTATGCTTTTTGTCCACGCTTCCGGTTCCCCGGGGTGTATGTGTCTGTTTGTGAATGTTTGTTTGTGTGTGTGTCCAGCGTCAACCTAATCAAATTTCGTTTTTCAACAAATTACAACAGAAAATTGGTTTTTGTGCGTTCCGGTTAGCGGGTTATTACTGTGCCCTGCTGTTGCTGGCGTGGAGGTTGTGTGAGGGCAGGGGCGTGGTCAGTCGCATTATTCGCTTTTTGGTAGCTCAATTTACCAGATTGTTGCAGCCGCGCATTTTGGCGGTGCTCAACGCAAACTGTTATTGGATATTGTATGGATTGGTCAAAGCATTTAGCGTTTTATTCCAATTTTCTATTTAGCTGCAACTGTTGAAGTATTTAGAAAAAATCCGTTTTGATATTTCACTTAAAATAAAAAACTTTATGCCAACAAGTGTATAAATGCTGCTTATTTATGGATGAAATTTTCTTTTGATATTATTGTTATACATAACAAGAAAGCCTGAATGGAAGAAAGAGTTAGGAAATACCCTGATTGACAGTGAGTTTTCGTGTAGCAAAATGTCAAAAGAATTTTTATTGCAAATTCTAAAAAAACTTTATAAAAAACTAAAAAATTTTGAAAAATCGTAAGAAATTCCTAGCGGAACGCCACAGTCAAATATAAATATATAAGTTTGTTTTAAGAACAAAAACTTGTTATAAATTCATTTAATAAATATACCCTCAAAGCAATTTGTTAGACGACCAAATAAGAGCAACAGCAAAAGAGAGTGCAATCAAATAAAAGTAGCTCAACATACTATGTTGCATCTAGATGTCATTTGAAAATACATCTATATCATTATGTGTGTGTTTCCATATTTGCCTACGCTTTGATGGCTGCTTGCCTCGCTTCAATAATTTGACTCTCCGCCAGTTGGAACTGCAATACTGGATGCTTCAGTTGCTAAACTTTCATCACTGCACAACAAAAGTCGAGTGTATCTGAGCTTAAGTTGCAACATATTGTAATCTTACTCAACCTGATGACAACTCATCTTATGAGTGCATCAACAACCAAACAGAAATTTCGTCAAATATTTTTTATATATTTTATAGAAAAAAACATAAATAGCTTAACAGCTGAATATTTGAGAAAAGCATGTGAAATTAAAAAAAGTATTGATTGTAGAAAAATAAATCAGCAAAACTATATCTTGTATTTTGCTAAGAAAAACTATTAAAAGATTTAAATGAAATTATATTCAACAGCAAATTCAAATAGAAAATGCAAACTTTGACAAATAATAAAACTTTTCTTCATTTTGTCTATTTTTCTTAACTCATTATCTAATAGAATGCCACAACTCATTTGGCCAAATGGCAACTTCCTGCTCGCAGCTACCACCAATTATTTGGTTAACTTTCAAAGCATTTTCTAGACACCACACACACACACTCCTCACTCTAAATTCCTATTTGCATGCACATGTTCATTTGCAGAACTTTCAACACAATTATAAAGCTGAATGCGAGTAAAAAGCCAAAAAAAAAAAAATATAAAAAAAGAAAAGGAAAATGAATAAAAAATTGTGCAGAAAATATATATGTTAAGAAATAAAGGCAAGAGCAAAAAGAAAATTCCTGCTTCAAGTTTAATTAAAATAAAAATGTGGGCACAGAGGCGTGGCAGCGGTGGAGGCAGAGGGAAAGCCAGACGAATGCGAAAATGTTAGCCACAGAAATTGTGGCGCTTATTTGTCGTCGCCTTCGGTGGCCTCTGCAGTTGCCTTTGTTGCTGTTGCTGTTGTTGCCGTTGCATGCATGCGAAATAGCAGACAGTCGAGGGGGGGCAGAGTGGCTCAGTCGTATAGGCCCATAGTGTGCTGCCATTTTTTTGTGTGTGTACTGTAGTGTAGTCGCGCATCGAGCAACAGACGTAACATAAACGAGGCTTATTTCCATTCAAAAAGCACCAGCGTATGTATGGCACTCTCTCTCTCTCTCTCTCTTTCTCTCTCCCTCTCAGTCTCTCTCCCATGCACACTCTATTACTATTCTTTTCTCATTCACACTGCGCTCTTTCGCAGCGGCAGTTGTTGAATTTGAAATGAGCGGCGAAAAAAAAAAGAATAACAGCAACAGCAAACGGCAAAATTATTACACAGGCAAGTTGGCTCTGCCACGCCCCTCCACCGCTCCACACTGCCCAGAAGACAAGTTTTCGGCTGGGCTTATAATTTGCATATATTCCGTACACACACACGCACACACTCCAACTGCAGCAGTTCATTGACTCGCGACGCGTTCGGGGAATTTAAAAGCAGCGAATAAAAAAATGTAGCATAAAACGCGGCGCGCATTCCCCACGCACACACACACATACCGAGGCACACGCACAGTCGAGCCTAGTTTCTTATTGTCCTGTGCACTAAAAAAAAAGTAAGAATAACGCCTTGCTCCTTGCTCGAGTTCATTACTCATTTTCGCTGATATCCGTTGATATGGCGCCTCTCCGAGCCCCCCTTTGCACCATGCTCTCTACTTAATCACTTTTCGTCCTTGTCATTGGCTCGTCTTATCTCTCGCTCGCACTATTTTCTCTCTCTCTCTCTCTCTGTTTCTGTTTCTCTTTCTCTTTCCGTTTGTCTGCTGCTCATTGACGCCAATTAATCTGCGCCTCGCTTTGTCTGCGCCTTTTAATTAATGCGCCCGGGAGTTGTTTTTCTTTTTGCTTTTTTTGCCTTTTACTTCATTTTATTGTATTTTTTGTTCATTCTGTTGGTCTTAAGTTGCTTTTTGCCCGCATTTTCTTGGGTGTTGCGATTATTGCCCTCTTTCATTTGTCATTTCACATTTACCGCAGTTGCACTTAATGTATTTATTTGACTTTTACAACAAAAATAGCATTAGGTGTTGCCTCAA